GAGGGCTAGTGAATCTGCAGTTTTCAATCCAGATGGGCTCTTAACGACTCAAATCCACTCATTGTTGGCATAGCTGGACCAGTTCCAACAGCTTCTCCCAGTTCTCTAGCTGGGAGATCTAGAAAACCTGCTGACACACTGGCCCTCCAAGGCCAGGACTGTGGCTGTCTGGATCAGTGTGGTTCTGTCCTGCGGCCTGCTATCTTTTCAGCCTGAGCATTCTGGGAGTGCTGATGAACACACAAACACCCGCATCCTCAGCTTTCCCAACTACCTGCAGAGCAAGTGCAGCACTGAAAAACTACACTGTGACCTTTCTGCTGCCTGACCTCCCCTCATCAGGCCTTAAAATCTGTTAAAAAAATGAAACGGATCAGGAAAATCCACAAACCTGCTGGTCAGCCCAGAAACCAGCATCAACAATACAGACTTACAAACGCTTTTCAATGGAACCAGCTCCAGGGACTACAATGCATGTTCACATGGATTTAAACCCCAATTGCCTGAAGAAGACGTCTCCACTGCTCCTGCTCCACAAATATAATCTGGACAGACAAGTGTTCCTTTCATCAAATCTGATGCAATCAAAACCTCAGGCAGCTTATTAAAAAACAAAAAACACACTTACGTCACAATGAATAACACTCCAGCCATGATCGCACAAGCAAAAACACTGGCAGAGCTCCAATGAACAAGTGTCATTTCCCATCCTATACTTGCACATGGGACCACAGCTACACATGTAAACCGAGACAAATGCAGTCAAAACACAGGTCAGCGATGTGAGGGCTTTACATTCAAGCCATGATGCAAGTGTTGCAGCCCGGGGTTATTCCCGTCTAGTGTAAGGACACTCGCTCCAGGACTACGGAGATCCTACCACCACCCCCTGCCCGCCACCGCCAGGCCGGTACGAAAATCCAGCATTCCGATCTCCAGGGACGCCCCTGCCCTCAGATCCCAGGCGTGGCCCCGGTTCCGAAAGAGAAAACACATGGCAGCTACACCGATTCCTTCCTGTCTGCTTGAGGACACTGCCCAGACTTGCCTGCACAACAAACACAAAGCGCTCGCCCTCTCGCTGACGGAGAGACGCTGCCTCATCAGGGACCGGAACTGGCATTAAGGCCCCATGCCGCCATGGAGGTTCATCAAGGCTGTTCGGAGCTACAGCTCTAG